ACTGTCCACCATGGCAGGAATTTTTCTCTTAAATATATAATTCCCCACCTTTTTCCTTAACTAGAGACCAGAGGGTGAAAGGGTTGAAGATTAAAATGTAAACAGCAAAATTTATTATAATTACAAGAGTGTTTCAAATTATTTCCTTAAACTGCAACATAATTTACCTCTAGTCAAGGTCTCTATTGGTGGTGAAAGAGGAAACTGCTTGACCTTGGAGTGACCTCTGACCCCCAGGGTCAGCACCCATGGAATGCACAGATGTCACGGTTCATAAGCAAGGACAGAAACTCTCAGGTTTCCCAGGCAGAGAGGCGCCAGATCTTGGATGGGGCCAACATGTGCACCTCCCTTTGAACCAGGCACTCATACCTGAAATAAAACTTAAAATAAGCATACTAGATCAGAGATGGTAAAAGCTCTGCATAGCTCTGGATGTAGAATTGCTCTGGAAGTGGCTTTCAGTGCTGGAATATCAATAAGAGAAATTAAAAATGCTTTAACTAAAAGCAAATCCAACATGTGCTACCTTGCCAGTTGCATTTAAGGAGAATTCCAAACAAGTAAATACGCGTATAAAATACAATGCTTGGCTGAAGTCGCTCACGCACACACTTCTAGACTGCAACCAACAAGCATATTTTGACATTGCTAAAAAAAACAAAGGCCCAATATGGAAATGTTCATAAGAATAAAAAATACAAGAAAATGGAAAGATTGATTGTCTGTGTTAGGCTAATGAAAATGGAGCCAATGGAATGAATGTTCTAATACAAATCATTGCTAGAACTGTTAAGATATCCATAAAAATACTCCCTCCAACATATAACTTACGTGACTTCCACTCTGCTATAGTCTCTCTTGTGGCTGGTTGGATGTTATCTCTGTTTTTGCCTCTGCAGGAAAATTACTTGTACTGTCAATAGTTGTTTACTTTTACACACACACATGCACGTGCACACCCACTCACCCACATCCACACACACCTACACACACACCTACACACACACACACACACACACACACACACACACACACACACAGAGAACAACTTTCAAGGTTGAGTCCAAAATCAGTATAATTTATAACTAATAATAAATAATTTAGAAAATTATTCTGGACAAAAACAAATAAATAAGGGAAAATAGGGCTCAAGCAAAAACAAATTGCAAAGGAAATTTTAATTTAAAGGAGAGAAAATCATACCACCAGCAATATTCAAATAAGAAGCGGAATACAGGGAAAAAACACAAGGTTAATTTTAACATTAAAATTATGCATTATAATGCATGTCACCATAAAATTGATATTAAAGGAAATTGTGATTCTAAAGGTTCCTTTCAACTATTTTCAGCCTACAGACCACAAATTGTGCTAAGCATGATCAAAGTACTTCACAATTAGTTTGGTTTTAAATCACTATAATTGTCAGCATAGCTTGTAATCGGAGAAACATTGTTTTGAAGCAACAGCAAACTTGCCCTGGTTGTAATCTTAGGGGAAATTAAAGAAAAATGCTGAACTCTGGTTGGTTAATAATAGTGTAGAGTAAGCACTAGGGATATAAGGCTTGTGTTAAGCATGTCAGCCATCAGGGAGGATATTACAAATTCATGAGACAGAGGCAACCCAGCCCCTTCCACTTTTTAAAAGTATATCCCACAGATATCCCATTTCCTTTTCTGATCACCTTTGACTTCTCTGTGCCTCAGTTTCCTCTGCTGTAAAATAGGGATAATATTGGGAGGTATTGATAAGGTTAACACACCCGTGTTTTAAAAGCTATGAAATATAAATGCTAATGTACTTCTGTACCATGGAGATAGAAATGGGAAAAGAACCTGGATAGAATAGAAAAGAAAATTTGAAGGGAATATTTGTATCCAGCTTGTTAGTGGATTGCTCTTTGAATAACACTGGCAGTATTACTTGGAGGCTGTGATAGCTGTGAGTAACGTGGCCCTAAAAAAGTTTTGGCTGGACCAGAGACTTCACCAAGGAAGTAATTAATACTGTTGTACTTAATAATAAAGTCCTTCCTGCAGTGAAACAGAATTTCCCATCACTACAGGAACTAAAACTGGCTTCTGGAGGAACCATGATTTCTAAGCACACAAAAGATAAAGGTAATCTGTGTCTGGGTACTGCTGTTGGGGAAATTGCAGGAAACTTCCTCAAGTGAAGCAAGCCATGTCTCTTTACCTGCATTAACTGAAATCTTACTTGACAATCCAAATGAATAAGGACAATAATACTTTGTACTCATAAATTATCTTTCATCTGAAGATCTCCAAGCATATTAGGAACTGCTCCAGGAAATGGAGCTATTATGGATAGATGGGCTACATTTTTTGACAGGAGATTTTCAAAAGTTGGCATACCACCCCACCCCTGTTGATCAAAATCAGGTTTCCACAAGACTTTACAAATGGGTTGGTGGAAAGGACAAGTGGTATTTTGACAACTTGAGTCTTCAGCCTTGACTATTCTAGAGGGATGCAGGAGATTAGCCAACAATTTAGACGAGACAGGAAACAGTTAAATGGCTTGGGAATTAAATTTGCCACCCTGCATCTAGCACTGCTTGTTCTTCTCTTGGACTCAGAACAGAAATCAATTCAAACATTTCTGAACAAGTGATACCTATGCTTCAAAGACAAGGAATCTAAGGGACACCAAAGGAGAAAATATACTAACAAGTGGTTAAAATTAACCACTCTGGTTTCGACAAAACCTCTTCCTTTACATTTTACAGAGAAAACTCCAGATTAAAGGAGGTTCAAGCCCAGTTTCAGTTTTTATGGGCCACTAAAAATATTTTGTTTTCTTTTTGAGTAACAAGGTTTTGGTTTTGTCTGGTCCCCCATAAGGACTACAAAAAGAGATGGCTGGATGGTGGGGAGGAGGCAAGTAACACGGCTGTATTAACAGAGGAAAAAATATAGTGTGAGAAATTCAAGTCCTAAGGAGCAACACAGATCTTAGATGTTCATTTTGGGAAGGAAAAACCATCTACCAAAGCCCCGTCGAACCGATCTGAATTCATGGAATGTTGAACGGGAAGAACCCCTGAGTCTGCCAGGAGGAGGGATCTGTAACAAAGGCGAGGGGAGAACCTGCAAGAATGTGTCTTTGTAATGTGTTCAAGTGGATGAAAATAACTGGAATCTCCCTTTGCAATGGAAAGGGGTACTCAAGAATTAAGTGGTTTTTATTAATGAGAGCAAGTAAAAAACGAAGTGTTTCAGCAAAGATGTTTACAGTTGAAAATGTTGATTTGGCAAAAGCGGTACGCTTTAGACAATATGTAGACAATTGTTAGCAAAAATATATATTTAGGGAAAGGTCCCCATTTTCAATAGAAAAGAATCATTACAGCTTGACCAACTCTATTACTAATAGTGTTTGTACTTGTAGAGTGCCTTTGATGTAAGGATATGAAAAAAGTTTATACACACACATCTCTGTGAAAGAAACCATTGTAAGAGCTTTGCTTGAAATCTTGACCCTATTGAAATCAATGTGATTTTCACTATTGACATCAACAGAGCCAGGAATTCATCCATGTGTGTAAAAGTGTAAAACCCAGGATTGCGCCTCAGGAGTAAATGCTGCTCCTGGGTCTGCTATGGACTTCTTATGTGACAGTGGGCAAATCGCTTAACCTCTGTGAGTCTCAGTCCCCCATCAGAAAGGTGTTAGGAGGATAAATTAGCTAATGTATGACAGGTGCCTAGATATTGCAGTGATTTGTGCCATGGAAAAGCCTCTAAAACCATTTTTACAGAGGAGACACAAGAGACTTCAGGCTCAGTTATGCATGCATGTTTGTGTACACATGTGCAGTCTAGACACGGTTCTTTAAATTTGGCCCAGACACCTTGCTCCAGCTTGTGCAACATAACCCATGAGTCCAGTGGGATGGGATTAACAGAGTAACAAGGCAGGGAGAAGAGGCTGTAGGAAAAATACCAATGGGGAGAAAGATTCCATTATTTTTTCCTTTTTTTTTGTTATGTTTCCCTTTTTATTAATATTTGAGGGAGATAGAAATATAGGGGGAAAGAGAGGTTCTTCGAAGTATGCCTGGAGGTGACAGATGCAGGATTCTTTCCTTCCTTGTTTCATTTCTGGGGAGCAATACTTTGGTCCAAATGAGGGTTCAAAAGCAGTGAGCATCTGTGCTGATTGGTGGTCCTACCTTCATTCAGTCTCATGGAATCATTTTGTGCATCCAGGGGTGTGTTTACACGAGATGCCTTAAGCTCAGTGGCCAGGTGCAACTGTGCATTAGTGTGTCAGGGCAAAAACTGTGTTAATGCACTAATGTGCAGTAAAATTAGTCTACTGTGCATTGTGTCACAAAATAATGTTTGCCTTTGCTACTGTGCATTAGCCGTTAATTAGTACCTTATATTAGAGGTAATAAACTTAATGTGCAGTAGCAAAGGTGCATTAATGAATGTGTAGACATGTTATAGATGGGAAAGCCACCTACCCCAAACCTTATTCCTGTTTGGTTTCCTTTGTTTTGATCTAAGTTTTGCTTGCTCTTGGAAGAACCTAGAAAGGAAGCAGGGAAAAAGGACTTGTGGGTCAGGAATGGAGAAATAAGACATAATAAGATTTATTTTGGTTTATTGGCTTAAAATGATCTTAGGTGCATATGTCATGATTTTGTTTTCTTGAGGCTATATAGTAGGGGGAACTCCATTGTAGAGTTACTACAATTTTCCATCAGCGTAGGTCAGAAGAGAATTGTATATACAAATAATGATATTGGTCTCCAGTGGTGCATATCCTCTCATGTGACCAAAGGGACTCGGCAATGGGAGACTTGGGAAAAGGAACTGCTTTATAATTCTAATGCATATTAACTAACATAATGGCTGAATTATGACCAGGTACTTGTGTTTAAAGTCATGTCAGTTGTCTGTGATTAAGCCTAGGGCTACTCTGGAGATAACCACAACCAGTTGACAAGTTTCTAAACACAATGCTCTGTGTCCTGTCTGAATGCTTAACTTCATGTTAGCTACCATGTGTTAAAACAGGATGCATTTTCCCTGGAGTAGGAAATCGATGGACTCTGGACAGGCAGTGGACTGCTGCATTCATAGGTCAGAGGCAAAAATTCTCAGAATATACTGTCATGAACTATGACTCTCACATGCTGGTGATTGCTCCCAGTGGCTTTCAGCAGTCTGTGTCAGAACTGAGGGGGGCTGGTAGTGCTTTAGTGAAGTTCAGCCCTTCTCTGGACTCTGCTGTGGCCATCTCAGCCAACAATGACTTTTGTCATCAACTCAGAAAGGTACTTCAAAAGATATTATACCAATTTTGAATGCACTTGATTGAACCAAATCACTGGTACTTTTAAACCCCTTCCCAGTGGATGGCATCTCCTGGACTCACCCAGAGATTTTCCATTCCTCATGCCTTAAAATCATTCTTTGGATGCTGTCACTTGGAATGAGCAGAGAACCTGGATGGAGAAAGGAGAGGTTAAGAAGGATGATCCAGGCATCATGGCTCTAGTCTGGAATTTAGTTAGTTCCCTACTCGGACAAGGACCTTCCTTGTGACCTTGGGTAACTCACTTAGCATCACTGTGCCTCAGTTCCCCACTTGTAGAGTGGAGATAATAGTACTGTGTCCCAGGGGGATGCTAAAGATTGTGTATGTCTCAGACACTGCCATGACAGATAAATGGATACTGCAATTTACAATAACTTAGTTTGCTGGAGGGCCTCAGACAGGGTGAAATTCATCTTTATATAGGTTTCAGTTCTAAATTAAAATAAAAATGAGTGACTGTGTATGGATTTAGTTTGGGGGAGATATAGTTAGAACTGGGGCCTTGGAGTGATGTTTTTGAGGCTAAAAGAGAGATGTCACTTTGGGCAAGATGGTAATTGTCTTGTAGTTACCCATGCAGGTATTTAAACCAAAGTTTTGTCACTAATCATGCTGTTCATTAGCAATTCCCATCACATTTGAATCAATCTATGGTACATCTGTGATTGGCTACAAGTGAAGAGGAAAAGGGGCAAATATAAAAGGAGAGATATGTGATAGGGTCTCAATTTAAGGCTCACCATAGACTGCATATGACATTCTTGTAACTAAACTGACAGTCTCCAGGTTTATAATAGCTAAACTCCTCAGTTTCCTTTATGTAAACATTTCACTCTAATGGAACATTATACTCAGAACTTTGCTTCTGCAGACATCCACGTATATGAATTACATAAAGATAGACCAATAGATAAATAGATATCTGGATTTAATAAACACTCACATTCTAACACTAATAGGCTGCTGAAGTTTTTCAGAGAAAGAGAGAGACTGAAAAGAAACACAGAATATTGTCAAGGGTTTACAAATTGTAGGGACAGAACTGGAAGTACTCAGTATCAAAAGACTGAGGAGAGGGAAAAAACAGCGATGGAACAGTCTGATTCTACATTAATAATTTTTGCAGTCTTGGTACTATAGGTGGTGAACAAGTTAATAGTGATCACATACCCTACTGATATCTGTTCAGAGGGAAAACCACCACCCTAATCTAAAGACGGATTTGTTTATGATCCAAGAAAGAAGATGACTTTGGGTAACATTTTCAAGAGCTTTAAACTGTTTTCAAAGCAGCACAGGCCTTCAAGAGCCCATGTCTCATGGAAAGTTAATCAGGCGGAAGCTCCTAAGGAACTTAAATTATTTTATTTTTTTCCCCTTTATCCTCAAGAATTCTTGCAAAATGAGAGAATCTTTTTTTCTGGATTTCCATTTTTTTTACACACTTTCTACCCATAAAAATATTGGCCGCCTTAAAATCAATAAAACTTGCCAGTTCTAGGTAAGCTTGAATCATATAGCAATTGAAATGGCCTGTCAGAATGATGCCAGATCACGCGACTCTCCTCCAAGGAGATGGGGAGGAAGGGAAGGGAAGTCCACATCTGTTGTGGGCGCTCACAGAAGCCATCGGAAACTTTGCACATGACTTCAGAATTTAAGACAGCCCCGAGCAAGCAGAAGAAGGTGAGCTTCTCAAAAGTCGAGAGAGGTGAATTCAAACCAGAAACCTGGATCTAAATGCTGGGGAAATTTAGATCCCACCTTTGTTGTTCAGGTCCATGTTTCAAACTAGCATGGTTGGTTACTCAAGTAAGGCCAACCCAACTATTGCCTCGGATTGAGCCCCTTTTCCATTTTGCTTTGCAATCTTGGATTTATTTTCCTCCATCTTTTTGGCTTTGTGCCATATTCTTGGTCAGCTGATCACTTGCCCAAATAAACTAAGGGCAGCTTTCTGGCTTCCATATTAGTGGGGGTTAGCTGTGGCTGCGTACTTTTAAATCCACACTTTCCGAGTGGCTTAAGCTCTTGATTCGCTTATCCTTCTAAAGTCACTTTACCAATCCACTCCATTTTGGGAAGCAGACCACCTCTGGGATCCCTGCTGGATTGTGCGGGGACACTTACACCAAGCAGCTCATACCTCTTTATCCAGATTTTTGTTCTGGGGTGGACTAGAAAAGATGTTTTTCACCAACACAGAGGGCTGCAGTGCAGTGAGTAAAGCAGCCAGAAGAACAGTACAAATGGTGTGCACCACACACACAGGCATAGCATACTCTCCCACCAGGGATCTTGGAAATCCTGCATGCATGAATTGCCTTGCAACGGCCATTCGGCTGTCATTCTGTCAGGCCCATTTACAAATCGCATAACAGGTTTAATTTTGAAATCGTTCCCCCCTTTTTATTTTTGCTGAAATGGATTTACAATGAAAGTATTTGAAAAGGAATAATTATCTAGATGAGCAACAGCAACACAATGCCTTCAGAATGAAGCTTGGGGGCAGGGTGGGTAAAGAGAAATGAGGCCTTTAAATCTGTTGCGATTTTATATTACATATACATCTACATAATATGCAGTCATAATTGCAAGGGGCTCTTTCATATGTGCAGTCTGAATTTTGGCTTTTGTTTTTATTGTGTTAAATGTTAGCATAATCCCCCAGTCTTTTGATTGCATGTATCATATATGAAATTATATTAAAAGATAAATTGACAACCGAAATTCATAAGGTTCCATGTAGAATTCCAGCCTTATTTATATTTTAAAAGGGTAGACAAACTCATTTATTGCAAGTATGGGATAGCTTGTTTTATGTGGTAGTGGGCCTGAAGATAAAGCTTTTTCTATAGTCTCTGTCCATTTCTCTCAGTGAATTGAATCCAGTCAAAGGTCAAACTGGCCAGAGGCACTTTTATTGTCATGGTAACCATGACTTAATCAAACAATCCTGAGATTCCAGGTTTGTGGGAACAGGCAAAGATCTGAAGAGACTGGAATTAATCAATCAAAGGGGGCAGGGAAGAAAATCCTAAGATATATGACTTATCCTTCCAAATCTATTACTCTGTCCTTAAACACACAAGAATTATGCCTGGGACAAAGCCTCTTTTCAGGCTGAATACCTCTGATTTTTGTTTTCTTGTCCTTTGCATCAAATTTCCTAACATACCTCTGTCCTACAGCAATCAAATCTCAACCCAGATTTAACCAGTAAGAGAGAAAGAGGAAAACAGCTACTTAGGGAAGATGAAGACTGTTTAACATAAAGCTACTTAAAAAAAAAATCCCTTCTATTTGAAAATCTCTCCAAGTTTTATGGAAACAGCCTGTGCAGAACTACAGGCAATAAAGGATCTGTTAAGGCTACACTGCTTTCTGGATGGTCATTTCTTCCTTGCATTTGCACCTCATGCTGGGTCTTGCTGGGCCCCCAAAGCTATAACTTTTGCCATCATCTAGAACATTTGGTTAGTTCAATGTAATGTCCAATCTTTTGCAAATGACATGGGACATGGGTGACTGGTCCCTCCTGAGTCTAGGGGGGCACCAGCCGCCAATCACCGAGCCAGTGCCGGATAGCTGACCCCGGAAGCACTGGCAGCAGAACCGGAAGTGCCACCAGTGCTCCTCTCAGCGCTCCCACTCCCCAGCTGGCACCAATCTCAGGGGGGCACCAGCCAGTGTTTCTCTCAGTGCCCCCACTCTCCAGGTGGTGAGGGCCAATCTCAGGATGGGGGAGCACGTGCCCCCCACCCCCCGTGTCCTCCCTATGCATCACCTGGCACTGGTGTTTGAAGCTAACTTTGAGATGTACAGAAACACTGGGCTCGGTTACTCTAGAACTCAAGGCACTCTGGGGCTAAAACTGTTCTTTTTAAATGCATTTCATTCATCTATTGTTTCCTTTCAGAAGCTGTTCTGAGGTCTCCTGGATGACAAATTTTGCTTGTTTGGCTAGCATTTCAGCTGGAAGGCAAGGCTGAGCTGCTGGTCCTATTCTCCCATGCTAATAGGAATGGGAATGCATTGTAGTATATTTCCTTAGAGATATGGCTGTAGGCTCTGCCCTCATAAGCTAATACAAGCTCTGACTCCTAATACATTTAATCTGTTGCCTGGATCCTCTAGTACTCAGAGATATTGGCGTGATAGTTGATAATGTAGACAGAGGGTGCATCTAAACAAGACATTTACTGCAGAACCAACTAATGAGTTCTGCAGTAAAATGTCACTGTCTACATGGGCAGTGCTATTAGGATGGTCTAAATTTATTAACTCCACCATAGGACAGTACTGCCAGACACGTATACTATCTTATGGTGGAGTTATTTACTCCGCTGCAATGCACGTGTAGATGCTGACAGGGCTGGCTGGGACATGAGGGTGCTTCAGCCCCACACCGAAGCACCCTCACCCCCTAGCCAGCCCATCCACAACATGTTGAGCCAGGTCAGAGCTGCCCCAGGCTAGGGCCCCATGCCAGCTGGGGCTGCTTCACCCAGGCTGAACATGTTGTGGTTCTGGCCACACATGTGAATGTGGCACCCAAGAGCAATAAACTCTAGCACGAACTGCACCAATTTATTCAGCTGCATTAATTGCACATGTAGACCTACCCAGTAAGATCCAAGAAAAAAGAAAAAAGCCATGCACAAAAGGAGAAATATAGCAGGTAGCTTTGCTACATGGTTGACTGCACTAGCTGTGTACTTAGATAAATATGTAGTTGTGTGTGTATACACTGTTAGAAAAGAACCAGACAGAATCTTGGGCTGAGTTTGTTCTTGGAGGATTCACTGAACAATCACAACATACTGAACTATATAATCTGTGATATATAGTCACAGAATAAGTGAAAAGATATTTGCTTTTGCTACTTCCTCCAGAACAGAAACAGATTGGTATCTCTAGCTCAAATGCAGGGCAGGCAAAGTATTCTATTTATTCAGTTCTGCAGCGAGTGCCACAGAAAACTTGCCCTATTAATGCTAAATAGGGAATACAGTGAATTCTACAGTCATGTTAATTACTTGCAAATGCCAGATTTAGCTATCTAATAGCGATCATTGTAGGAAAAGAACTAGTGGTCTTCTTCCAGTTCCTACTGCACAGACAGATGTCCATGCAACAAAGCCGACTACCACACTTGGTCCCTTGCTGATACAGTGGAACACCAAGGACTGAATGATAACAGACTTAACTCCTTTCTCTCCTGTAAAGGAGCTCAGAATCATTTGTGCTAAGGTTGGACTAAGATTCAAGAAAATGTAATGAGAAGGAAAAAGAAGGGCAGAACTCCATGGAGGGCCAAGAGTTAGAGCAGCAGAGGAGAGATGAAGAAGCAGTGAAGCAGTCATTGAAAAGATGAAAGGAAAGCCAGGGGTTGGAGCTAGGAGAGGGAAAGAGGGACCAATGGCAAAAGCAGCAGTGTGATGATCACCAAAGATAAAAGGAGGAAGCTCTCCTCTTGGTCAGAGAGGTTTCTGTGGAGTAGAAAGTGCAGAAGCCAGACAGGAAGGAATCAGAGATCAGAGTGCAGAGCCATCAGAAGAGGACAACATGGCCCAGGAGTCTGGAGACAGAAGACTGGAAGCAGATGGGGGGAAGCTGGAGTCAGGAAAAGGCTTTTTCCAGGTTGTAGCATACATGTGTCTGTTTTTAGGTGCAAAGAAAAGAGTTAAATGATTAGTAATAACTTATAAGGGAGGTGGAGGTGAGGGCACAAAGGAGTAGGGATAAGAGAGAGGGAGGGGTTAAGAAGGCACAGGCTCCAAGTAGAAGGAAGAGCCCTAGGACAGAGGAGGAAGAGTTAAGGGGTGGTTACAGAGGGTAGAAACTGAGGATGGAGAGGAGATCTTGTGAGCCTTTCTTGTCTTCCCTGCAGATAGATGGAAATCCAGGCCTCGCTGAAGTAGGAAGTTTTGACACTGGCTTCAGTGGGCCACATATTCACTCATTCACTGCTCACCATTTCAGTCCATGCAGCATTTACATCTGAACTCACCTTGAGAAGCAAATGCCAGAGCAGAACTGACAGAAACAAACCACTTCCTTCTGCAAGGGTACTGAGCACCCATGTTTCCTCTCTGCCTTGTTGGGAGCAGCAGGCACTCAGCACCACTGATAAAGGAGCCTCAAATCCTCTTTGCTCCTAATCTGTTGATCCCTCCAAGACAAGAGATGAGGAAACTGGTGATATGAGGTAACCTGGGAAGGTTAAACTGTAGATACAAGCATCACACATGACCTGTGCTAAAACAAAATGTCAATTCTCAGAGGTAAAAGTCCCTTGAAGCCTCCCACCCTTTTGCAAAATTACACCCCAAATTAGCTTTAACTCTTGAGTACCATGATTCCTGAATGCTACCTTATAAGGTTAAAGCATTTAAATTATAGGAATAGCCAGGGGCAAAAAGAGGCCCATTTCAATTTGATATGTTGAGGTTTAGTGGAACGTCAGGCTGGGGGGTCTTAGAGCTCTTTGTACCTTCCCTTCCCCTGACATGCAGAATTTGAGATGCTCTGAAGCCAAGGCCGTGCAGTAATTTACTATATTTTTGGAGAGGTAGTAAGCTAGTAGTCTCCACAAGAGTGAAGCGCTAGGGCATTTCCTCACAGACCACGGGCTACATCCTGCCCTACTCACTACTTCGCAGGAAAGAATAAAAATGGGAAGGAAGGGCTACAAACATGTAGGGAATAGAGCGCTACCTCTGCAAGACGATCCCCCCTTTCCTCACAGCATGCAGAATCCCCTTAACAGGCGCTCCATAGGCCTCTTTGCAGGAAAGACTTGGATCTGAGAATCAACTGCACTTCACATAAGCAGAAACTTCACAGGGTTTCTGAGTGGGAATCCATGCAAAAACATTGCTTCCTAATGTGAGGGAGGATTATGAATGCATCAAGGCAATTCTGGTAATACCTACCTCTCAGGTTTCCTTGACCTGCTTCAGTTTGGTTTTAGGCCCAGGAGATTATACCAGTCTTATTGGTTGATGATCTCCTTCTGGAGATGGAAGAAGATCAAGTATCCATGCTGATTCTGTTAGAGCACATGAGTTGCCTTTGATATTGTTGACCACAGGTGTTGACACAGCTGTGGGCCCTGTCTGGGACAGACAGAATTGTGCTTTGGCAGCTTTGTTCTTTTCTCAGGGGGTGCTGGCTGATCGCTCATCTGCCCCAAGGGCTCCTAGAGATAACAGGGAATTCTGTTGTCACCCTCCTGCTCAGTGCAAGTCCCCTGAGGAGGAAGGAACTGGAATGGTTTGAGCTGTAATGCCAACGGTACATAGCTGATTTTATCTCTGCCCGTGTAAATAGACAACAACAGTGCAGTTAACTAAACTTGGGTGAGAACTACTGGGCTGACCCTCAACCAAGAAAACACCGTAAGCAAGAAGTGACCAGAAGAACATGATGATGATACTAGCTCAGAGGATGCGTCCACCTCCTGTTATTCAAGTCTGAAATCTTTGGATCTAATTGAACCTTCAGCTACCGCTGCATTTTCCCGTGGAAGCGCTGGCCAAAAGTAATATTTTCCCCTCTACTGTTGTTTGGTGAACCTTTCTTTATGGATGTGGAGACTTCACCGAAGTTGTCCATGCCTTTGTCATAATGTCACCTCTAAATAGGATCAATGCAAGTGTTTAGCCTGAAGCTATTCTGGAAGCCCATTTAGACCTCCACTAAGCTTTGATCCAAGACAATATTCTCACTCAGGAGAACATTTAATAACATGCTTTAAATTAAGTATATACTTTAGCATTGTTTTGATTAGGGATCAACGTCTGTATAGATAGATCCTGCCCATTTTGAGAGAACAGTCTTTTTCCACTCCAGGACAGAGATTATCTGGAAGGTTTAATCTGACTCTTCCTTGATTTGAATGTGTAAAGTTTAGGGATGCTTCCTGGGAGAGGGTCCTTGACTCTGAAATTCTCTTCCTTCCTTGGTCTGATGGTGTTCAGGGAATATTGCAAGGCCTTTGTGTTTAGTTAGTCTTTCTCTAAGGGGATGATTTTTATGGAAAGGAGGGCTGAGGGCTTTCTATATGCTAGAGGACTGATTTTATTAACAGATAACTGGTGCTTGGTAGTGAGCACTGTGCATCATACTTGTACCTAGAGGCCTGCCATTTGTCTTTCTTGATTAGTTGAAAGGTAAGATCTTTGGGGCAGGGACCATCTCTCACAATGTGCTTATAGTGCCTAGCACAATGAAGCCCTGATCTGGGCTGGGGTCTCTAGGTACCGCTGTCCTACAAATAATAATAAATGGACTGGTGGACCATGCCTGGTTAACTTCAAAGGAAGAGGAGCCCCCTTGGGCTTTACCCTGCACCTTAATTTGAGGAGTACCTTTCAGTTTACTCTAGACTAAGCCTTTCTGCAAACTGCTGCCTTTTACTTTGCTATCTGGAATGATAGCAACAATATTAATAGCAGAAATCTTACTGTGCAGGGAACCAAGTCAAGCCACAAAGAGGCTCTTTTTGAGCTCTCTGGCTGGCTTACTATCTCTTCTCCCAGGAAAACTCTCCTAGGTTTACTCCAGCAATTAATCTGCATACATTTTTTCTATGTCAGTATAAACTATCATATCTGTGAGTTGTCCCTTTGGCTCATCCCCACCTTTTGGAATAATGCTGGAACCTTCAGGCACTAGCTAAGGTCCCATCCACATCATAAAAAAAAAAAGGCAATGATGAAAGTCTTGGGCATGGAGGTTTAAAATCTACCCCCCGAGCCTTATTCTTTGTTGACATTGGGTGACCTTTTCTTACAGGGTTTTCCTCTTTGTAGTAAATTCCCTTTCAAGCCTTAAAATGCAGTGAAACTTGCAAGCAACTGTTCAAAGGACCAGCACAAATCAACTGCCTTGTAAAGGTGGGTCAAGCAAAATTCATATGGGAAACCTTAAAGACACAATGAAGCAGTCACTTCAGAAAAGCGGTTCCTTAATATACCCATCCCTTTGTACAGTGTATTGTTTTACCAGGAAAGAGGTTCCCAAGGCTGTGAGGCTTGTATTTTCAGAGATGCTACCTTCCCCCTGACTTCAGACTAGCATGGCTAACTACCTCCCTCAGCTGTTAAGAGAGTTTGCTTCCTT